AATAGCATTTTTGAAAAACTAAATAATTGACACACATTTTAAAATAATTTCTAGATGCTTTGTCTGTCTCCTTGCCAAGGATTCATGCCTGAACTCTAATAATAGTCCAGATAATCTGGTTTATCTATGGCACTCTGTAATTGATCCCTCACCCTCAACAGTTTTTGTTAACAAAGAGCAGTTGGAGAACTCTTTGGATCTAGCAGCTTCCTTCAAGTCTTCCAGCCATAACTCGTCTCACAAAGAACTGTTGTCAATTTTCCAAATCCACAGAATAACTTTCCATTATGCCAAAAAGCCACAAAGGACAAGGGTCTAGACCACAGACTGCAGGTCATCCTGGTGAGTACCATATCCACTTTCTCAGAAGTTAGAGGGAGAAAAAAATCCACATAACTTGGCAGGTGATTGTCCCAATTGCTACTATGGATCCTGCCCAAGTGGAGTCAAGACTCAAGTGAAACAGGACTTTATTAGTGATAACCAGTGGTAACTGGTCCTAGCAGCCAGGGGGAAGCTTTGGAGCTGCTCCTTTCCAGAAGGAAAGTTGTTATCCTAAAAAGTGCTCCCAAGATGACGGACCAACATCCCCAGCTTCATTCAGTCAGGTTTTGGTAATGCATTCTTGGTATGCCTTTTTATCACCAGATGATGCATGAGCATAGCTTCGTTACAGATAATGTGTTTACTAACAACACCTTCAGGTCAATCCAATTATAGGTCCCAGGGAAGGGCTACTAGCTTGGGAGGAACAAACACCAAGTTCATCCCAATTCCAATACATTCTAATCCTACACTAAAGATACTCTTTGACTTACAACCACGATTCAGACCAGCATTTCCTTTGCTAAGCAAAGCTGATGTTAAGAGGGTCTTGCCCAATTTTACAACTTTTTTGCCACAGTTGTTAAGTGAATTATGCAGTTGTTAATCAAATCATGCCATTGACTGCTTATTGGAAATGAATTGGGAAAGTCACAAATAGAGATCATGTGATTCCAGGATGCTGCAACCATCATAAATGCATGTCAGTTGCCAATTACCTGGATTTTGATCATGTGACCATGAGGATGCTATGATAATCGCAAATTCCTCCATTCCTACCTATACTTACCAATCAATTTAAAAAATCATAAATGGCTTTCAGAAGGCAGAATGGCTGACATTGTAAAAATGGACATAAGAACATTACACAGAAAGTATTTTATATGCAATGTAACCATATATATGTATGTATTGTATATGTTAGTCAATGTCACAAGATGTAATGTACACTTTGAATAAAAACTATAAAATTTTAATATAGCTAATCCAAAACAAGTAAAAGTCTTTATAAGATCATGTGTTTTGGATTTTGCAAACTCATAATGTATAAACATAAGCTAACATTATGATAGTTAGCTGTAAAATAAATGCACAACATGAAGACTTTATAGCAAGTATATTTTTTATTAATTTCACAGAATACTTTTCAAATACAAATGATAATCATTCAGAAACAATGACAACATTGAGGAATGAATACTGTAGAATATAACATACTGTAATAGTATTAATGTGGGCAGTCATGTTCTTATTCCCCCCAAACAAATACTGAATGTATACTGCATAGTCACTACAACTATTATCCAATAATAACTTTCTATTTGGGATCCCAAAACACATTTTCTGTCCAAATACCATGTATTCTATCCATAATACAAACAGAAGCTGGTCACAATTGGACTTAACTGATGACAAAATATTTAGATTGACTGCTTTTTATCATAAACAATAAGTACAACACAGGTGACAAGGCAGTGCTTCATATCAGAAGTAATATTTTTTTCTTCAAATTGGGTAAAAAAAGCCCTTTGTCAGATATGTTTTTCGAATGGGTTAGAGCAGGGGTTCCCAACCCCTGGCCCACCGGCATGAATCAGGCTGCAGAAGGGGTGGGCGAGCACGTGCGCACATTCATATGAAACTTCACTTGTGAAAGCAGCACACATGCGCACAAAACCATCCCATCTTTCCCCACCCCGCCACCGCTGCCTCCACCAGTCCACTGAGCCAGAAAGATTACAGACTGCTGCATTAGAGGCCAAATATATTGAATTATGCAGCAATATAAGATTAATCCATAATAGCAGCTAATATATAAAACAATGTTTAAGAATTTTAACACTTTAAGCATTTGATCACCTATTTTTTCATTATCTTTTTAATCCAGTTCCACCCATTTATTCCTGTATGTTTCTGGGATAAAATTTTTCAAACATTTTTATAATCTGCTATCACACCCAAAATAATTTTATTAGAAGACAATGGCAAATTTTCACTTAATCATGCCAACTAATGGGAAAATGTTCAGCATCTATCATGAATTATTTGATTTCCTGTAAATTCTTGTTAATTTAATGGGTTTATGTTATCCATGCTTACAGACTATGCTTACAGACATCATATGAAGCCAGTAAATTCACTGGCTCTTATTTTTCAGCAGTGCTGAAACTCTCTTTTATCTGGATTTTAAAAATGCCCAATGTAGGATTTATAACACTGCAACCATCTCTAAGCCCAGCTCTCCAGAATACAATTTAATGGTTACTGTTTCATGATTTTAACACGAAACACTATTTCAGATTTGATAGATAGAAACTGTTGATTTATTTGGGTCAATAAGTTTCTTTGTCATCTGGCTTCCTATAGGAGATGAAGAGGCTGAGGCAGTGGTGGGATTGAAATACTTTAACAACCGGTTCTCTGCCCTAATGATTTCTTCCAACAACCAGTTCACCAAAGTGCTCAGAAAGTTAACAACCGGTTCTTCCGAAGTGGTACGAGCTGGCTGAATCCCACCACTGGGCTGAGGGAAGGATCAATCTCAAGTCCCTCTTGCTCACAAGATATCTAAGTTCACCCCACCTTCAATTCATCTGATTCTTACCTACCACCATTTGCTTTGATCCATAGTTCAGATTCTTGTGGAGAAACACAAATAAAATAAGCATACAATAAACCTATATTCATTTGAACTGCCTGGACTCCTGATTTACTGTGCTTGACACTTCTTTATATCATTGTTAGATTTTTAACAAAAACAAAATTTTGATTTTTTATAGTATCCTATGTTAAAATTGCATTTCTTATTAACACCCCCAAGGTATATTTTATATTATATAAGAGCATAATTATTTGGGTAACTGAAGCTGAATATAACAACATAATAAACAACATTGCATACATTGCAAGACATAAAAGTGGCTTTCTCAGGAATTTAAGGTGACAGACCCTTAACTGTAAAAACCTATGAGCAAAAACCCTAAAAGGATATTTTTTACCTCCAAAGCAATGGCATTCAACTGAATAGTATATTGTTTTCAAAGATAATATTGAACTATTTTAGCTCATATGTTTAACATCTCTACCTTAATGTTGAGTCAAAATGTCACCACTGAATAGATAAAATCACTATTAGCACTGGGAAGGAACAATATTTAAAATTTCCCATGAAACATAAGGGCAGAAGAAGTTGCCACTTTATAAAATTGGCATTATAATTTTCATAAAGAAAAATAAACTATAATAATAAAAATGTAAAGCAATGAACCAAGAAAAAGGCCATTTAGGAATTTGACAATGAAAACAGGTAACTAATATGCTATTATCATGACAGTAGCAGTTTTGTGGAATATTAATTCTAGGAATAGTCCATGCAGTAAATTTTGTATAGATATGGAATTTTGAAAAGACCCATCTTTAATTAAAATAAACAAGCCTTTTCACTAAAAAGGTGGGAAAATCTGAATGTATAAAAGTGGTATCTGGTTTAGAACTGAAAAAAAATATTTTGGATTTTTTATTGTATATAATAATACGATTAACCACTCTCAAAATTCATAACACTTTTCCTGAGATGCATTAATTCAATAATCTGAATGTCACAACCTCTTCAGACAGGTTCTATCTAGACATAACATATGGCTTTTGGATGTATTGGTTAAAGATTATACGAGATAAAAATCTTATAAATCTGGAGTTCAAAAGGCAGATGCCTTCCTTTTCTGCATGAATTTGAGCTTTTTTTGTGAAATAATTCAATTTGGAGTGCAAGACTTAAAAGGAAATGTATGGAAATCACAGTCCTATGATATTTGAAGTTTTTCCTAAATAAGTTCCAGACTAATTTCCATAACAGTGGAACTGTCCACATATTATATTAATCGTATAGTTCAGAGAGAAATATTTTCCTAAAACAACAGCTAAAGAAAGATCTGTCACCTTCTTCCTTCCCTCGTTAAACTGAAAAACTAGTTAAAATAACAAGATACACCTGACACAAATAACAACAATCTACTAGTGCACAATAAGAACATGCAGTCACACTCTGCAATGTTTCAGTAACATTTTCACTTTTTGGAAAAAAAAAAAAAACCATCGCAAATGATGTGTAGCTACAGATAGTGCCCGAAGTACATTATATTATATGATGCAATATAAATCAGTAAAGCTGATTTAAAAAGTACAAATTTAGAGTATTTTCAGTTCAGTTATCAGAAACAAAATCTGTTCAATGTTTCCATTCTACTGCATGACAAACACCAAGTAACAAAATTTATGTCATTTAAAATACATCTTAAAGTAAATATTTTCCTTCAAGGAAAACACATTACTATAAATAAATTACAATACAGTGAATTTTCCTGAACTCACTTTGTTTCTGCCTTCCAGCCCTTAAAATAAAATAAACAGCAAAAAAAGAGAGAAAAAACCACCCTTTACACTTTCTGACATGATAGTCTTTTTTTAATATAAAATAAATTGTTTTCAGAGAAATTAGTTTCACAACAAGGAAAACCCAAGCCTTGCTGCAGTCACTAGTAAAAAATATATGTGTATAAGTGTATCTATGTGTGTGTGTGAGGTGTGTGTGTCTGTGTGTGTATATACACACAGTATATATGTATACCTTTCTATTTTTTTTTTTACAAAATGTGTATATTAATAATCTTTGCATATTTTTTAAAAATAAACTTAAGTAGTTCAATAACTTCATATTAAAATAAGAAAAGGCAGATAAATACTTCATTATACATCATCAGCTGGCAGAGGTGGGACATTGATCCTTGGCCTTGTAAAAAATGCCATCTTCTCCCTGTCATAGATGGGAAAAATATTGTACAATTATTTTATAGTTTAACTCATTCACCAAACAAACAAGCAGAATATTATATCATTCAGCCAAAATCAACTCCTAAGATAGCAACATAAGACTAGACAAAATTATAAACAGGTGTTTTGTCCTCAATCATTCCCATATTTTCATAGTCCTACTGGATGCTATCTTAATTACCTCAGAAACTGCACCCAATGTATTTGCATAATTAAGCATAATCTATTAGACTTCAAGAATTCAGGCAAGATAAAAACATTAAATCAGACTTCAAATTCCAAAATGCCCTCCCTACAGATAGTTTTAATGGTTTATCTTTATTTTGGTGTGTGTACAAATATGTGCATGTATGAAAACCAGAAGATTTAGTATAGAACTAGGAGCAGGAATGGGCTGGTATTACATTTCCCCTCCTTGGTTGACTCAGGATCACTCAGTTAGTCTTGGCCTAAAGTATCTGATTGTATTGTTATGGAGAAAAATTAGCATGAAACATATGACATAAATATGCAAAGTTTATGTGTGTGCATATGTAGACATTATTTGTTTACATAAAAATATCATTAGCTAAATATTTACAAAAAATTTAGATTCATTAGTACTTATAGACATGAATTTGATTTTATATAGTTTATCCGCTTATATCTAAAAGCAGATGCATAGCAGAGTCAAATGTGAAAGTGTACCATGTCTGAGAAGAGCTGTACTCGTGATCAATAAAGTGGTTACTCATACGTATTTGGGTTTTATCACTTCAGACTATAAATGGAAAGTCTTTTGTTTTCATTCATTTTCACTTTTTATTCCATGTAGTCTATGTTTAGAAGGAAATAGTATGTGTAGAAGAAATAAAATAAAGGTGTGCTCTTTTCAATTATGACATTAACTATCATTAAATAGTTTCAAAATAATTTAAACCATTCTTAATAGTTTACCGGAAAGTCTGCACCTGAAGAGGTTCTTTTTTATTTTGACCACGCAGTTGGTATACTTCTTTGGAAGCTTTTTTAAGCAATTTTTCAGCTGCTTGTTGTTGACGATGCTCAAATTTTGTTTGCCTTGTCTAAGGAAGCAGTTAATTCCTTAATTTATTTATTGAATTTATACCACAAATTTCTCTTGGTATAATAAGCAGTCTAGATAGCTTAGAACCATTCAAATAATTACATGAAATATAAAACATTATCCACTAGATCAATGTAATCCATAATTGGCAATCACCGTATTTTTCAGAGTATAAGACACACATTTTTCCCTCAAAAAAGAGGCTGAAAATCTGGGTGCATCTTATACACTGAATATAGCATTTTTGCCTCCCGAAACCCCGCCCCTTCACCAAAATGGCTGTGCAGAGCCTGTAGGAGGCTTTCAGAGAGCCCCTGGGGCCTGGGGAGGGAAGAAATGAGCAAAAAACGGGTCATATTTGCTCAATTTTGCCCCCGCAGCCCCCAGAAGCATTCTATAAGCCTCCTAAAGGCTATCCATGCCCTTTTTTTTGACAAAAATGGGCCCATTTTCGTGAGGTTTGCAGAGTGCAAAACCTTTTTTTTAATTTGCCTTTTCAAAACCGTGGTGCGTCTTATATTCCAAAAGATAAGGTAACTCTTTTCTCTCATTTTCTTTAGAGTGCAGTTTGTAGCCTGGGACTTGCACTAGGAAGCAACCAAGACTGTATGACACTGATGATATACACTGGTCTAAGTAATTAGGCTGGTTCATAGTGACAGCCACAGTCCCTCAAATAGTAAAGATCTAAGTTGCTATGGAGTTTTAAGGTCAAGACCAGCATCTTAAATTGTTCTCAATAAGTTACTGACAAGTGGCTATCTTTAAGTACAAGTATCATGTAATCCCTGTATCTTGCACATTGTTATCTCATACTATTTGAGATATTTCAGAAGGGCAGTATAGAGGAAAGAACATTGCAAAACAAGATGCATGTAACCATGGTTAGGTCAGACTGGTTGAGGAAGGATCATGGTTGGTGCACTAGCAGTAAGTTACACAAATACCACATGCAAATTCAATGACAACGGGGGTTTCCTGGAAAATTCCCAAACTATAAACTATGCTTTCCAGGGAAACGCCACCCCATCCAAAACCAGCTTCACTTCAAACCTCAAGTTAAGCTTTTTCCTACCAACAATGCCTCCAATATTTTCTAGATTTATTTATTTAGAGAATTTATATGGTCATCCACTCACTTTCAGTGACTCTGGCAGCTTACAAAAAATAAAAACCCAATCTACCCCTTTTTATTTTCTAGATTTAATGTCAACTTGAAACATAGCAAGATTAGCGGACCTTTAATTATATCTATTTTTAGTGGATTATGACATTCAATATTTAGTAACTTTAAGGGTTTTAAGGAAGTAACAGCTGGAAGAAGTGGTGCCATAACTATCACCTTCATGACATATGGCTGGTTATCTAAGGCAGTGGTTCCCAAACTTGGCAACTTTAAGACTTGTGGACTTCAACTCCCAGAATTCTCCAGCCAGCAGACCTGGCTGGAGAATTCTGGGAGTTGAAGTCCTGGCTGGAGAATTCTGGGAGTTGAAGTCCACAAGTCTTAAAGTTGCCAAGTTTGGGAACCACTGATCTAAGGGACTGCTTATCTTTGACTATTTCTGCCCATCCTATATGATTGGACAAAATGCACATGCTTTAGGTCCCATCTACAATTATCTGTTAGAAATGTCATCTATTGCAACTTTTCTGCTGCAGTACCCATTGTTTGGAACAGCACCTCCCCTGCCCTCGAGATCCATCAAGTTCCCACTCTGACAATGTTTAACAAATCTTTGAAAACCAGATTATTACCTAGGCCTTGTGATAGGATAGGTGTCAATAGCATTTTATTGATGAGAGGGAAATGGAGGTTTTTTGGTTAATCCTTCTAACTGCTCTTACTATTTTTAATATGGCATACTGCTCAGAATCTTATGTAGTTGAGTGGCCTTTTAAATTTAATAAATAGATAAATAAATGAGCACTGTGTTTCAAAATGCATAGAAAGACAGCATTATGCACAGCAAAAAAATGGACATTTGTTCAGCAATTTGTCTAACAGAGCCATTCCTAATATCAACTTTTCCTAATTTGTTGCTATGGGCCTAAATCTCTATTAAACTTTATATCAATGGAAAATTCAATGTTCCACTCTTTTTTTTGCCAGCGGATCTGTTACAACTAAAATTATACTCACTGTTAAAGCTATATTTAAGAAATGAAAATGCATGAAAGTACTAGTAAAAAATCCCTCCTCCCACAAAACAATGTAACACAAATTCAGCTATCCTATAATCATTTTGATACAAATCTCTATTTAGGATTTTAGGATGTAGATCTGAAATGTATACATTACTAGATGTAAATCCACCCTCTCAAACATAAAGACTATCTTATATTATCTGAAAAGAATTATGAATCCAAATAGATTTCTAAATAGCTCCACATATTTTAAAAAACATCTTTAAACATTAAAAATCTGATAAAAACAGATTTTTATCAGACCATTTCAATGTAAGTGCTCATGTAGTTTGACATTGGTTTTATTTTCTACTTCTTTGTAAGTGCAGAAGCAGTTTTCCACATACTCCAAGGATGGTTTGTTTTTTAATCTTATTCTGGAGTGTTCCATACCAGTAGACTTAGCAGCAGATATGAATGACTGAGAAAGAGAAGAGAATGCCCTATTTTATATTTTGAGGGAGGAGGGGGTATCTAAATAAACTTCTTCCAGAAGTAAAAATCTGCCTAAACAATTTAAATCCTATTTTTCCCTTGCTTGATACAATAGCATTACTTCAAACTGTTACATTGTTTATATATGCTCTTCAATAATTTATTAAATATTTATAGAAATTAAACATTACAAATCTGATTTCTGTATCTCATTGCTGTATGAATAATGCAAACAAGCTGTACTAAATGTTCAGATGATTCCATACCTGCCTTTCTGCTTCCTTCAGCAAATTTCGGAATCGTTCATCACGAATGACCCAGTGAGGCAGATCAGTTTGACCACTAAGCTGGGCATCCTCCAGACGCTGCCGCAATTCTCTTAGAATAGATAATTCCTCATTTAAGTGTCTCTGCCTTGTTCTTGATGCCTGAAGATCCAGCTCCAGGTCTAGGGAAGTCCTTTCCATAAGATCAGCCAAAGATGATCTACATGAATGCTACAATAATATAAAAATTATGGCAATGCCTCTAACCATCTTAGAAAGAACTGTAAGGATCTAAACTATTTCACAGGTATAAAACTGTTGCAAAATAGTGAGCAAAAATAATAGGAGAAAATTGATTCAGTTAGGTTCAGTCAGAAATTGGTCCACTATAGGTTAAATGCAATAACTTTAAACCACATATACACAATTAGGAGCTGGCACATATTCTCTTCACCATGTCTTACATTAAGATTTTTTTCCTTTCCTTCTTAGTTTAATTTTATACTTACATTTGCACTGACATAATCCCAATTAAAGCTAACGGGAATTTATCATGAAATTGCTGGATTAAATTTCAAGAAATGTTGAAGCACTGGAAGAAGGCTCCTCTTTACTCGGGACAAATGAAAGTTTCAGAAAAACTAAAATATGTTATTTTAAAAATATAAAGTCACTGCATTATTTGATTTGTTCATAAAATATGTCTAATGTATACAATTGATAAATTAAACCATATCATAATTTTAAAGTTTCATACATGTTATTAAATTTATTTTTTAATTTTTTTACTTCAAGTTGATACACTTTAAAAAATGAAGCATTTTTAATGTCTGCTTTTTAGGAGAAATCAGCATACAACTGTTTTAAAAACAGTTTATCTATGTTATAGTATAAACATATGGAAAATGGAAAAGGAACCAAGGTTCAAAGTATATAATGTTACATGATACATAGTATTACAGAACTTTTCCATTTTATTTTTTAATCTGAGGTAGTATCTACTGTCAGGTTTAGCTTCTATTTATCCTTATTTTAAATTTTATTGTGCCTTATAAAAACTGAATTTTTATCTCTCATGTCTACCTATTCCTATGTGATTTCTAATTTGGTGTATGTATTTATTCTTAACCATTTTATGCACTATTTAAAAAAGTATTAGGAAATATTTTCTAGTATTATTCCATAATTTTTCAGAAAACAAAATAAAATAGTAGAAAAAAACCACAATCCTTTGTATCTCTACTTGTAATCCATATTTCAAATGGATGCATGGATGGATAAAATTTTATTTCTGATTGCTTATATTTGGCATAATGTTTATCATCAGCCTTCCTTAACTTGTAACTCCTCTCTGTGTATCCAGTATGGCAGTTAAGCATTCTCACTAGGCATATAAGCAATATTTCTTTGTCTTGCAAACTGCAAAATGAATTTGCAAAAAACACTGATCTTACCAAAAATATTAAAGCATGGATTACTGTTCTTCAATTGTGGTTTTATATAAGACTTGTCTTCTTCAGCCTAATGTCCGAGCTAGCTTCTGTAGGCAGCTAACAAAGACACTTTTTGAATCTTCTTGATACCAATATTATTCAAGACATTATCTAGCTACTGAACATATATTTAAATAATTAACTCAATAAAAAGACGTGGCTATCATCTGGCCTTCTTTTAACAATGACAGAATAATTTACACAAAGTAATGAAGTCTAATCAAATATATAATAAAAATGTTACAGTATTAACAATAAAAAAAGTTATATGCGACAAATAAAACACAGCAACAAATAATGAACAATCTTATTGCAAGTCTTTATGATTAACTATATGAGCATATCTATGATCACACTATTAAATACCTGCTTATAACGCAACGTACGCCTTTCCAAAGTATTCCGTATAAAAGGTGACTTTCTTTGCAAAGTGGAACTGTCACTATCACTACGATATAGCTGAAAGAAAGATATGAAACACTGATTATAGTCAATCTTAATACAATTCAAAGTTAAAAAACAATAATTTTATTATCATCCACATTAATTTGAAATGATTTCCTTTAGATAATATGATGCAAATTTTAGTTTTATCATTCTTGTATTGTCTAGCATTGATTCATCACTAGCAACAACAACAAAAATCAGAATTGTTTTCAAAAAACAAATTAAAAATCAATGAAATAATTGAATTGGAAATGGGTGCAATTCTGCCCCATCTATATTTTTCCTTAGCTGCAGGAACCTCTTTCTCTGATCAGCTGAGGAAAATGACTATTGTCCTGTAGGTGTGGCGCAAATAAGGAATGATATTTTCAGAAGCAGACTCTGCAATAACTTTCCCATGAAAAATTTCATCAGCAAAGTAATGATACTGGAAGATATAAGCAATGCTTATGACAACAATGAAAATCCTCAGAAGGAAAAATATAAACAGCTGGGCAAAATATAGGCAAAAATTACCTATAATGAATGCAACCTGTGCTATGGGTTAATACTTAATACATAATACTTGTTAACTAAATTATGTTTTGCACTTTGGAAGATCGTGCTTTGTATAAAAAACCCACTGTCTAATATAAAACAATCCAGGTTTTTGAAAAATCTGCAATGGCATTGTCTTTCACCATTCTGGTTAGAGTTGATATGAACTGGAATGCACAAGCATGAACAGGGTAGCAAACTCTATACACTGACTTGTTCAAAGAGATTTCAAAGAGATTATCCAGAGATTTCATTGCACATATATAGTAAAAAAAAAGCTTTTGTAGATAGCTTGGCTTGCATTAATTAATGGGGAAAAGTTCCTGAAAATATGTATTCTGCTGATAGATCATTTACACAAATTTTAGACAGAATTATTTAGCATTCCAAATGACTTTTGCTATGAAATTTTCTACTCACTCGGCAAATATATTGACTTCGTGCACCAGGTGAAAATGTCTGTGAGCGAACAATAGTATTATTACGAACAAATGCAGAACCACGGGAGCGACGGCCTAGTCTGTTTTTATGAGGCAAAACCATTTCTTCAGGAAAAAGATCTTCTGTATTAGTCTCCTTGTCCACCTATAGTAACAATCAAAATCTTAATACGTTTGTTCACAAAGAAAGCACAAGTATTTTAGGGAGTAATTTTAAAGTAATTAATCCATTACTATACCCCTACTTATAATAAAAATCAAATTCATAGTACTTTCTTTCCTAAAAAGAAGAAAATACCCATTCATGATTTAAATAAAAAATCCAGGCCAAGTCTCATAAAGATGTAGGAAAAACTGTAACAGTTATATTTACTTGCCTTTAAAGTTGGAGCTGGAATTTTTCCAGAAATACATTGATTTGTTTGAGAGGCAAAAATAGGAATCTGCAATGATTCACCACAATAGGAGTCCAAGTGATAACTGGACTGCATACAATTACTACATCCACTATCAACTGATTCTGCTTGCCAGCTTCTGCAGAGGAAATATTTTAAACTGTTTTATTGATTATTTGATTTATTTTATGAAATTCAGTAACTGATGATCTAAATGAGCAATAGGTAACTTAGAGAAAATCAGAACAGTCAAACCATTTAAAATCAGCCACCAAGGGGTGAGAAATTTATATATAAGCGAAAATAAGATTTATATATTGGATAATAAACTAAACCAGTCAATTGGAGGCATAAGCCTTTCCTAGGAAGATATTCAAGTGATGGCCATCATAATTGAAAAGATCTTATGTTGTAATCACAGCTTTAATATACCTGGCAGAGCAGGTCAGAAAGGTTGATTTCTATATAGTTCTAACAAATATGCAATCTTTGTTTCTAGATTCCTCAGATATGAAATCAAAATCAATAGGATGCGTTCTTTATGTTCACATAAGTATTTACTGCTTACATATGTATTTTTCAAATGTATAGCATGCTATTTATTATATATTTAAAATTAAATTTTTGTTCAAACATACATGAACTCATGTTGGCTCAGAAAAGAGTATGGATTTGCGTACTCCTTAAGTTCAACACAAAGGCTAAAACATTTTAAGTCTGTTTCAGCTACAAATACTTAAGATACTTCCTACAATAAAGAGGGAAAGTCATGCTAGGATTAATTGTATATATTTAGGATTCATTTCAAAATATCAAGCAACAGAAATGGAATCAGCTTTAGGAAACTAGAGATGGACATATATGGCTGTCCAATGTCTGCACATTCTTATTGTATGTATTCTTCACAATATAAGGTACCTCTCTGACACAGCTTCTCCTTGATCTTCTTTTTGTTCCATCTGTTGTATTTCCTCTTCTGTATACTCCAGTTTTACTCTCTCTTCTGCAAGCTCTCTCTCGACAGCTTCCAGTTGAGCTGTGGTCCTAGCTAAAAGAACAGTCACAGCATCCTAGAGAAGAAAGGACAGTTCAGATTGAATTATTCCTATTTTATTTATATGTGAGCTGGAACTAATATTTTCAAAACATAATAACAATGACCGAGTTCATATGTGCCCAAAAGGGTCTTAAATCAGTAAATATGCAATATATTCTATACTTTGGGAAATTCTCATAAGGGTGCCATTTCATTCTGAATTCCAAAAGATATCTCTTCCTGCTGTATTTTTTCGTTGCCTTACACTGTTTCCAGAACAAATAGGCTTATTTTCTTAAATTCAGATCTCAAATATAGCATGTAGAATGATTCATACACTTCAAAATAACCTAAACATGACCAGAAAATTTAAAATGGATGCATAGACAGAACATAATCACACTTGTAGCATGACCAGAAGATCAATGCAGTTAAACAGTTCCAGTGATAATAAAGAAATTTCATCAATGCAACTTTTTGTCAATAGCCTCATTCAGACATATCTTCCTTTAGTATTAAATATCACAAAAGCATAGAAACACAAGAAAAAATATATATGACTATACCATTTTCATTATATTTTTATTTTCAACAGAATGAGAAGCACTTTCTTCACGCTTAGGTTGTTCTTTTTTTTGTTCACATTCTGAACCAATGAAGGTCTGAACAGGATACCAGCAAAGCTGCATCTCGCTAGCACTCTCATAGTTAGCTAGGCTGATCTGAGCAATGCCCTGTGAACATAATGCAAAATGTGTCAATGTATCATAGAAAACATTTCTATTACAAAATTATTTCTTTTAATTAAAAAACATTAGCATCAGTATTTAAGGAATACTCATCACATTCTGTGTGAGTAACCTCATTGCCTAACATTTCTCTAGAGATGATATTTCACATCTAATTCTAATAAATTAACTTTGATTTTTCATGTTGATAGGGATATGTAAAACATTTTCAGTGTAAAATGTTTCCAGCTCAAAAAAAAAAAATCTGTGTTAAGTTTGAAACCTTTGCTTCAACCCTGAAATGGGTTTTTCTGACCATTCTGGAACATTTCATGGAAAGGAATCCCTTACCAATAATTCTTCTTGTTGGTGCTGGCCAAGTGAACAAATGTAAAGTTGCAGCGCTTTGAGTTTTAAGATATTTGATTGTACAGGAATCTGAAAGACTTCATTAAATATTAACGAAGCCTGGAATTCCAAAGCCTTAGAGCAATATGTGGTTGTTGTGCCTGACTCAACAGATGGTAAGTATATTCTCACATGTCTGAAAAAAAAAGGAAAAACTCCTATATAGTAGAAGTATCAATAAAATATATGAAATATATATAAATACGTTTTCTTTTTATCTTTTAAAATGATCATTACAGCATTGCACTGAAAAGGCCTGTAATTATTTTGCATGTGCTAAAGCAATAATATTTGGTAATCAATATGATACAAATGCTGGCAATTCTGGATGCCTACAAGTAGTCCTCGACTTATGACCACAATTTGGACCAGAATTTCTGTTGCTAAGAAATGCAATTGTCACTTGATGGTGCATAATGACATATCTTGACATTTGATAGGATTAAAAAGGCAGTGTTAGAATAATGTACAATCTCAACGTACATTTTACAGCCTTCTTTCATGGCAAAGCCAGTAAAATTCTTCAGCTGCAACACATGGACAAGGAGACACTCACTTCCATTGTCATGCCTGAAAAACAAGGTAACTGTTAACTCTATTCTCAAACATACAAGCCATAAAGATTTATATAAGGCCTATTTTTGTTTTTACATAACTGATATATCATATATTTATAATGAATCATATTGCTATAATGACAGCACTATATTACAATATAAACTTTAAAATAGCAACAACTTAAAATTACTAATTTAATTTAAAATGCCTCTTCATTTTAGCAGACGTATAGCTAGCAGAACTTATAAGCAATTCTAGTCATTCTCACAAATCCGGGGAACTGATTAATTTGGCCATTTAAAGATAGTATTTATGTGATAAACCATAAAACAAACCATATTCTGGGCTAGGTGGGGATTTTCTTTTAGCCCCATACTTTCCCCCCCAAAAAAATTAAAGTAGCAATGACAAGATAGCCCAGAAGATGTACATTCACTACTCACAAATGTTCCTAAATGTTTATTTTATTTATTTAGGGAATTTATATTGCTACCTATTCACACATGGCAACTCAAGGAGGCTTACACAATATAAAACCTCATGTAAAAACAATGAAACTAATAATAGAAGAGTCATATAATAAATATAATGAAATCATATATAATATGATATAATACAATATAATATGATTATAATAATATAATAAAATGTTGTCTGTTTTGTCATATAATTAGTACTGACCAATGCATATATACTCACAGAAATCCAACCTGCACTTTGGGCTCTTCATTAGTGACACCATCACTATAAAGTGATTCTTCAACATCTTCATTTCTATATAAGAATTTAAAAAATTAATAACTTATCGCTACAGTAGTACTCTGTCATCATATAATAATACTATACTACTACTACTACTACTACTACTACTACTACTACTGTATAATACTACAATAATACTAGCTAATAAGTACAAAAAAAATCCTTCTTCTGCTTTCTATATTATATGACAAACTTTAGTCAAACTCAAATCTTAAAAGACATTGTTGAATTCTATGGCATGTAATAAGTCCACATGTGATTAACCTAATATCTAAACTTTATTTACTGGCAACTACCATATATGGTTATTTTGCAAAAAAAACAAAACAAAATTAGTATGTTGATGCCCAGATATACAAGACAAGCATCAAAAATAATTTTAAACATTGAGGCATGTGCTATTCCCAGTTTTAAATAGGTACAGTAGAAAAGCTTAGGGATGTGGAGGCTCAGTGGCTAAGGTTGGCAGTTCAAATCCCTAGTGCCACATAATGGAGTGAGCTCCCATTACTTGTCCCAGCTTCTGCCAAACTAGCAGTTCGAAAGCATGTAAAAATGCAAGTAGAAAAATAGGAACCACCTTTGGTGGGAAGGTATCAGTGTTCTGTGCGCTTTCGGCATTTAGTCATGCCGACCACATGTTAAAAGATTTTATTTGCCATTAATCTTATCCATTAGAAGATAAAAAGATCTTCATCAAGTATTTTTGAGGGGAATTTTTAAGGGGAATTAAATATAATTCCGTTTTACACATATTTGTACAACCTGACCTTTTGCTTAAAGCTTCAAATACGCCACTGTCACTAGCCAGTGAATAATTGGACAGACATGCTGAGACTCGCCTGGATCTCCTTTCCAATCTTCTAGTACTATCTTCACGTAACGTCACAGCTACAACATGGAAAAGAGTAAAGATAAGTTACACTGAAGGTTTATTTATTGGATTTATCCTCTCCTTTCCATTTGTAAAGCATAAATAAAGGCAGAATACAGAATACTCCCTCTACCTATTTTCTCTTCATCAACAATACTGTGAGCTGAGTTGGGCTGTGCGACAATGTCCAGTGACAGTGACCACCCTAAGTAACTAAGCCAATTTCCAGTCTAAAGGAAGACTCAAACTATTTTTACATCTGTGAACAAAAAATCAGTCCATCCAGTTTACTAATACAAATATATTAAATGTGACTTATGTGTATTGAAATCTTAACACACACTTAAATTTACATCTGAATACTTTTAATTGAGTCTTGAGCATATGCTTGCATGACTACCCTTCAATTCACTCCAAATTAAAAAGATAATACATATTGCTAAAATAAAACTTAAGGAAAGTATTTATAAACTATTAACAATTTAACATGAGTATAGTCCACTAGTATATAGAAAATCATTAGGTGCATTCAGATTATATAAACTATCCAACACCTATTCACAATCCTTTATGTTTCTCTTTATGATTGTTAACAGATTGATTAATGCTAATTGTGTTATTGGTCTATGACTTCTCCCTTCACTAACGAGAGAAACAAATCTAGAATAACCCATGTCTTGTCTTAGATTTATATTCAGGTTGGCAATGAATGGAAATCAAAACAAACAGCACAATAATGTTTCAGTCAATGACCAAGAAATATGACACAAGGACCCTTAAGCAAGCTACTAATGCGAATTATATACGTGCAGCATTAAGAGGGGCCAACGAGTGAAATCAAACACCAAAAGTATGATTCTCATATAATTCAAAAGTAATTATGTGCATTTGTTTCAATTCAATTATAATTATATCAAGTGTTTTTTTAAAGCTATCTACCTATGCCTGTTTTTAATGAGATAATCATGTCAATTATCATTTTAAATATTTTCATGGTAAATTATTTTGTTGAAAGTTGCATGAAAATAATTATGCCATAAAAATGCAAAATATTTTTAAGATCAGTAACAAAACAAACAGTAAGCAAACTTTTGATATATTGCACAATGCAAATAAAGAAAATATGTTGTCATTTTATTCTTCAGGATTTTAACTTTCTAGTCTACCTACAATTGTTCTAGTCAAACTGAACCCTGTCAGTTTCCCATCTTGGCAAAGCCAGCTAGTGTTGCCAGGAATATATTAATATGGAGTTTATTTCTATAAATAAATTATGTTTAATTACTTTATATAATAGCTATAAATTATATATATCATTATTTCAGATTGCTAGTCTTTTAAATGTAAGATTTTATTTATCTTACTGCAAGAAAGTTTAAATATTTGAGATAATTTTGTAATACAATTCTACTTATTTTCTTGCCATACAAAATGTTTGTGTCTATTTTCAGTTTTTAAAAAGAGGATGCTCTTAACACAGAATCAAATTCTATAACTGTGATGTTCTGATGTTTGTCCAGGTCAGTGGTTCTCAACCTTCCCAATGCCATGACCCTTTTAATACAGTTCCTCATGTTGTGGTGACCCCCAATCATAAAACTATTTTCGTTGCTACTTCATAACTGTAATTTTGCAATTTTCCAACGGTCTTAGGTGACCCCTGTGAAAGGGTTGTTTGACCCCCAAAAGGGTCACGACCCACAGGTTGAGAACCACTGGTCTAGGTTAAAGTATTGAAGAAAATAATATTGCTATCTTGTTTCAATTTTGTAACACTGTAGTTGCAGGTCAAGACATGCTTCCTACTCAAAAGACAGAAACAGATTTTCACTGAGGAGTTTGTCATATTGTGCAGTAACTGCCTTCTCACTTTTAAATATTTTATTGACTCTTAAACGAAGCTTCATTTTAAAACATTACGGTAAGTAATAAATACTTCTTTGAAATGATCTTTACTGTGTGACAACATTGATAAATTAGTTGAGTAAAATTATTCTGTGCTTGATTTTCAGTTTGCTTTCACAGTTCCCAATCTAGCTTACAGTTTGGCGTTTAACTGAGAGTTTTGCATCCAAGAACCAAGCCTAAATCATTTTAGCTTCTTGCGATCAACTAGCATTGGCTAAATGCTAGCTATCTGATCTGGTATATAGGGGATGGCAGCTGAAGTTTGAAACTGTAACATAGTTAATATAAAATAACTGAACATGTAGCTAATATCAGATGGTGAAGTAGAAATGCAAGGAATTAGAATTCCACATTTTTGTTCAGCTGATGCTCTTGTGCTAGGTATTAGCACTTAGATAGACATCGTATACCTACATATTTAAGATCCTTAAACACAATAATGATTAATACTAGCTATAACCCAATATGGCTAGGAACCAAGATTTTTTAAATAAAATCATAAAAAAATATTTTGGTCTTTAAACATGCAGAAGAAAACCCAAACTCTACAAATGCACATGAGCTTTACAGGCAGAAAGAAAAGAGTAAATCTAGAATCACTTACAGCATATTTTTCTGTTGTGCCACATGAGGAACAAAATAAAGGAATAATTTAAGTGAAAAGTAGAACCAGTTTGTCAAATCTGACATTTTTATTTTAACCCCACCCCCACCCCTGAATTAAGCATCCCCTGAAATTCTGCAACTGAGGGGAAAAATGAATGTTAAGGTACTTTCCAAACAGTACTTCCCAAACTTCATTAATGAGATCTAACAGTCTATAGTACAAGAGAAATATTTTTATCTCTTTTATTTACACACACATTATATATGTGTATGTATGTATGTGTGTGTGTGTGTGTGTGTGTGTGTGTGTATGTGTATGTGTATATATATATATATATATATATATATATATATATATACACACACATACATACATACACACACACACACATACATACATACACACACATACACTTTAGATATCTTTATTCTTTATCTCAAACAAATATTCTACAAATAATAAATGAAGCACCTAAACTTTATTGCTTTACTCAAAATGTACAATAACATGTTTAATTTCTGAAAAAGAAAAAACAATTGTTTAATGGAACCATTTTGTTAACCTAAGAGTGCAGATTTATGGCATCTTACATTCAGTTTTTCAACCAAAATTGTATTTCTGTCACATTTAAAATATATGACAAAATTATTAAAAATAAAAAGGAATATGCATTTGTAGTAATAATTATTCTTTCCTTTTACACTGAGCAGAGAAATACAAACAGGTAGCATTAGTGAAAGTTTGGATACTCATATCTCTGTAAATCAAAAACAGATCAAGTGCATTATTCCAGAAAATGAGCATATTTCATGGTACTCAAACACTAGATGGCAGCTATTTATACTCTTTAAACATTTAAAAACAACATTGCTGTTCATTTATTTCCCTAACCTCTAAACATTAAAACTAGCAAACGGGAAATAGAAAATGGAAATGCCTAAGCAATTCAATCACATGGGTATAAAGCAGACAAATCTATATATTTAATTTTTTTAAAATGATCCTACACGGACCCAAGGTAAATAGCAATTATGCTAGCTAATAACATTGAAAAATTACATTCTATATTACAATGTAGCAAAAATTGTAAAAATTGTACTAAAATTCATTTTATGGAAATTATTGGCCAGTTCATAGCAGAAGGGGGTGGGGAGAAGAGAAGTATTTTCCTTCAAACTATATTCCCCACTAGAATGGGGAAAAAATGAAAATAAGCAATCTATTTACAAAGCACAACCAGACCAATTAGAACAGTCACATTACTTGAAATCATAACACCTTTCATTGGAGTTGAAATAAATGTATAATGTTGATCTACCCACTAGAGTTGGAGTTTTGAAAACTATCTAGAAACTCAATTCAGAACGTTGTGGCCCATGTTTTAACTCGCTTGGAGCATATTATACCAATATATCAGGCTCTGTACTGGTTACTGGTTCAATTCTGAATAGAGTTTAAAATCCTGATATTAACCTATAAAGGCTTTCACAATTTGGAACCTGAATATCGAGAAAATTGCCTCTTCTGTTCCAGCCAGTTAAAAGTATAGAAATATTGTCCCCCTTTTTTCTGAGGATCAAGGAAGCCAAAGCTAGAATGTCCTGCTTTACCACAACAGTGCTGACACTATGAAATGGGCCCTGTCCACAGTAATTTTTAGGAAATGATTAAAAATGAAACATTTTAAATAATTTTTTAGTAACATCTCCTGTGCTTCTTGTTTATTGCATCTTTACTATGACTCTTTCTACCATGTTTCCTCGAAAATACGACATGTCCTGATAATGAAGCCATGCCACATTTTTCTGGTGGGCAAAAATATAAGCCTTCCTCTGCAAATAAGCCCCATGGACAACCCGCCACCTCCGACCAGGCAGAGCGCCACTCACCAACCTAGTGATGTCCTGAAAGTGCCAAGCCACGGGAACCGGGGGAGAGCAAAGGTGATTGTGTTGCTTGGCATCTTCGGGATACCGCTAGGTTTGTGAGCAGCGCTGTGCCCAGCATGGCTTTTCGGGAGCTTCCAAACTGAAATTCCACTTCTTCCGGCAGTGGCCGCTCTGGGCATACACTCTATGGTTGTGGGCTGGCTATCGGCAAAGCATCCAACCATAGAGCATTCGCCCAGAGCGGCCACTGCCAGAAGGCTTGGTTTGGAAGCCGCCGAAAAAGCCATGCTGGGGTGGCAGTGGCAGCGGAGGTGCTCTGACTCTGCAGGGAGAGCTGGGCCAGGGCATCGTGAAGCTGGGAGGTGCGCAAGCGGGAGTGGAACAGCCACTTGCGCAATCCCCTTCTCCAGCCGTGCAGAGCGCAATTCACTGGCATTTCAAAGGCGCCAAGCCACGGGAGCCGGACAGCGGCAAACAGGTGCTAACGCGGCTTGGGGATTCCCCTAGGTCAGTGAATGGCGCTGTGCCCAGCTGGAAAGGGTGTTTGTCGAGTGGCTGCTCGTGAGCATGGTTGCTTCATGGCTGTTGTGTTGTGCTGCTGCAACAGCGCAACATAGCCATTCCCCCATGAGGCTGTGCACGGCTCTTTGGGAGCCCGCTCGCAAGAGAGCAGCCTCCCGGCAACCCCAAAATAAACCCTCCCCTCATAATAAGGCCCAAAACCATATTTTGTGTGTAAAAAGAAAATAAGACCCTGTCTTATTTTTGGGGAAACACAGTATTTGGTTTTGCAATTTGAATTGTACATTGTTTTTACACTGCTATTGTTGTATTATTATGACGATGTAAATTGAGTGATTGTGGTGTTAAAACCTGAATGAATCAACAAACAAATGACTTTTTTAGGTTCAGAACACTGCAAATTAGTTTCAAAGGACAAATGTTTTATTCATTTCAAATTACAATTAACTTGCCCTATAATTTCAACAGGACTTAAATAATTTCATTCATTTTGTTTCAGAAACAGATAGGAAGGAGTTTAGAATATGAACACAAATGAAAAGTAAAAATGTGTAACAAGCCAGCAAAACATTTTATTTCCTTCTCTTAAAACTTACTATAATAATCTAAATTTTACTTAACTGAAACACAGGCATGCTAACTGTTCACAATTTCATTCAGCCTTTTTTCACCAAAGCAAAACTTAGATATACTATGTACCTTGTGACATTGAACCTATATTCATTGTTTTATTGATATCTGAAAACAAAATATAAATGGCTAAAAATTAACTTACCACCAGAATTTGGAATATTGATAATTTGCAGCCCTGCTTCATTTCTTGTGGAATATTCATTAGCCTTAAATGCCATAATTTCTTGTCCTTTGTCTTCACCCAAAACAGAGCCCTGAGCTCGAAGTACTTCTGATGCACCTGTGTATGTTACTTCTTCATACCCTTCTGACTTATGGACTAATGGAGAATCCCGAGAAGCAGATTGGAAGGGAGTGTCCAGGGGAGAACTTGGAGGTGATAGTGAAGAAAGAGATGATCTTGATGACAATGATGCCAAAGACAGAGGAGTATCTAAAGATCTTCGTTGTTTACTGCTAACTGGGGATCCAATAGACTCATGATACTGTACATCTTTGTTATGAGAATCAACTGAAACTGGATCATATCGCTTATGATGACCATATTCAACCGCAATATCACACTTATCATACTGAGGGAGACCATAGATGTCTGTGAAACTAACTGAACTCAGGGAGCCTCTGCTGGATGCCAATGACCCACGGCTGGATGCCAATGATCCTCGACTGCTTCCAGAAGATATTGTCAAAGAACTGGCAGATAAACTGGAATATAACAGACATATGTAGTAAGTGTGCATTCACAAATGCAGATTCAAAATATGAGTTTTTTTCCTCTTCATTAGCTGAAACAATAATCAAGATATACTTCTATATGCAGGCTTTGCAGATAAAAACTCCATCATTTTCCTTTGTCATATTGTCATTCCCCAGTCACATTCCCAATTCTGAGAGCTGAAGTCCACTCATCTTAAAGTTGTTAAGGCTGAGAAACAATATTCTATTGCTTTACACACAATAATATTTAATAAATGTGCAAGATGTGGATCAAATTTCTACTTAAGCAAACACTCACCATAGCTCTTGTGGAATGATTCCAAATATCAGGTGGTAAATTTGTATACAGGTAAGAAGGTAACACAGTTAAACAACTCAATGGAGAAATATTAAGAAGGAGGAGGACTATTTCTTTCATAGCAAATAAGTAATTATTGACAAAGGAGAAAGTGTTCATTATGATCAATGTAGAAGACAGAACATATAATAATTTGTAAACGATGTAAGAGAATTTGAATAGAGCCCTTTCGATCTGGAAAGTATCACACTTTAGCAGCCAATATGTTTCTGAAAGTATGGCTCTGAGGCAATAAACCCTTGCCTGGAAAAAACATTAAAACCCAGAAATGAATAAATGAATGAAGTTTAAAAAACATTAATAGACATTTTTTTAAAAAAAAAGAAAACTAGGCAACCATTGAGAAATTATGATCTGCAAGGATTATAGCCAAGCATACTTCCCTGAAATTCTGAAGAAGTTATATCCATAGAAAGCTCACAAGGCTTGTTTTGAAAACTGTTCCCAGAATCTAAAGACCACAGCTGCTTCTACAATTTAGGGAAGGGAGTTAAGGTATTTCCTTATGCTAGTACACTAGGTAAATTTTCACAATATGAAGTCTAGATAAATTAAAAATAATTATCAAATAATAAATGAACACCTAGCAAAAAGCAGATATAAAATAACTGGAAGGAATAAGCTATTAAACAGGTTAGAGCAGTAAATTGGGAGATAAAAAGGAACCAATGTAACAAAAAGCAACATTTAGTTCTATTTGGGGGGGTGGGGGGGATGTATGAATACTTGAACAATCATAATACTTAGATCCTACAGAGGTTTCATAAGTAAAAATCTACCATGAGATCATTTTTATGATCTGCCCCTTCAACATATACAGGTAGTCCTCGACTTACAACAGTTCATTTAGTAACCATTCAAAGTTACAACAGTAATTAAAATGTGACTTATGGTTGCTTTTCATAGTTACAACCTTTGCAGCATACCCATGATCATGGGATTAAAATTCAGATGCTTGGCAATTGGTTCATATTTATGACCTCTTCTAGTCCCAGGATCATGTGATCACCGTTTGCGACCTTAGGACAAGCAAAGTCAATGGGGAAGCCAGATTCACTTAAAAATCAGGTTACTAACTTATCAACTGCAGTGATTCACTTAATAACTATGGCAAGAAAAGTTGTAAAATGGGGCAAAACTCATTTAACAAATATCTCACTTAATAACATACATTTTGGGATCAATTTTAAAAATTAAAAGAGCCAAGGTGGCGCAGTGGTTAAAAAATGCAGCACTGCAGGCTACTGCTAGATCAGCAGGTCAGCGGTTCAAATCTCACCGGCTCAGGGTTGACTCAGCCTTCCATCCTTCCG